AGTCCAATTTCAACATATTTAACTTAGAAACAACCTCATATTTTGATTCTACATGAAAGCACTCACTTTGTACTAAAAAGTTTATTTTAGCAAAAAAAATATTTGTTTAAGAAATTTCACATATATAAATTCACAAAAAACCTTAAACATTAACATTGTTAACATTTCATTCAACATACGAAACATCATATATGCTATAAATGAAACATGGAATGCATTTATGCCACAATGCCCATGCATGATGATCATGATCAAGGTTTTATTAAGTTTGTAACACCTAGGGTGTTACATAAGGCGTCCTAAAGGTGTTGGAGGCTCACCGTGACTTGGTGACATGCGTAGGCGAAGCGGAGACGGCTCGGACAGGCTGTCGACGACAGCGGCTCGAACTGATGGGCACGACGGCGTTCTGGTGAACCCTGTGTAGTAGAGATTAAAAGGAGAGGATGATGAGCTTCACCGCATGCCAAGGGATCCAAAATGACAAGAGTGGGAGCGAGAGCTGCTCTGGAACGAGCTGCCCACGGTGAGGTCGAGCTCAGCGGCCATGGCGGCGCTGCCGCGATAGAAACGGTGCGTGTGGCCACTCCCGACGACGAGAGATGGCACAAGTGGGTCAAGAAGGTGTGCGGGGACGATGCGAAGCTAGGCGCATGAGCAATCGGGTAGAGATGGATTGGTGGCGATGAATTTGGCCGGCGACCGAGGAGCTCGACGGCGGTGGGAAGAAATAAGAAGACTACAACCGGTTTCGGGGCGATTTGAAGGCGGTGGCGAAGCATCGCGGCGTCCAGCAGCAGCTTGCGGCGCTGCCACCGCATCAGCTACGTGCCCGCGCGCGAGAGAGCGGTGAAAACGATCACGGCGGCTCACCGACGAAGCTGCTGCCTAGCACCTGGTTGCCGAGTACTGTAGCCGACTGAAGCCCGATGTTCCTCCACCTTTTTCTCAGTAGCAACTTGAAAAACTTCCTTAATCAAAGTTGCTCATCTAGATGTCCTCTCCAACTTTGTTCACAGATTCGAGCTCTAATTCTAAATGGTTAGAGAGATTTTGAATGAGGAACAGGGGTACTTTGAAACTGATTTTGGAAATTCAGTTAGGGTTTGAAAAATTGGTTTGGTTAAGCAACTTTAGTAATTAATTAGTGAACAATTAGCTATCAAACATATCAATAATTTACATGATATCAAAGCTCAAACATTCCACCAAACAATGGAACAAAGTTTGGTCAAATTTTATTCATAAAAATTCATTTGATAATTCTTCAAAGATTGAACCTAACACTGCTTTTCATTGACTTAGACAGAAATGGCTAAGTATGGAAAACAACATTGAATTCAATGTTTGAGCTCAAGTTTAAACATATTTGACTTGAAAACTCTAACAAACTTTTATCCCATATAATAAAGCACACTTTGAACTATAAAGTTTACTTTCACAAAATTTTAATTGTTTAAGCAAAATTCACAAAGACTCATCATTGAAATCAAAGATAACATTTCATACAACATATAAAACATAGCATATGCAACATATGAATGCTATAAATGAAACATTTAGTGCATGTATGACATGATACTTGGTGTTTATGCTTGATGATGCTCATGATCAAGTTTTAACTGCTTTTTAACATCTGGGATATTACACCCATGGGGTGATTTGACAAACTACTAGGCTTGAGTGGTCCGTGGACATGCCTATCAAGGTTAAATTGGACAGTTCTTCCATTGTTTCCCAACAATTCAGCAAATCAGCTATCCAATATTTCTCATCATCCTCAGATCTAAGCACATATACATCACTTTTAATATAATTTATTCTCATTCTTACTTGAGTTCATATTAGAAAAGTAAAAGCTTAATGTTTTGCATGTTCTTATCCTCCATGGCCATGAAGACAATTGTGTCATGTGCATAATGTAAGACACCAACTACTACAAAACAGTTATCACCACCAACTCTAAACCTTTTTGGAATCAGGAGTGGACAAGCTGATGCCAAATGGTATCACTGTTGGCAGTCAAAGGTGGGTTCTCAACAACTGCCAGTTTTAGCCACAAACTGACAATGATACCAAAAAAGGAAAATGTATGTTTCTAGGATTTGAACCTATGCTACAAAATGTGACATCTGATTCTATCTTTTACTTCACATTTATGAATCTAGTATTATATGTTTTACAATCTAGATCATCACAAATGAAAAAGTTGTCAACTACAAAGTTGAAGATATCATCGAGTGCTACAACTTTGACATAGATCTAGTCTCCATTGAATTGGTTTAATGGGTATGATAATTTATATCAAATATTTGGATATCCAAACTATCTCCAATGAAAAGTGGTAAACCACAAAGTTTTAGATCAAATTGAACTCTATAATGTTGATAAAAAGTTTGTCTTCATCTGACATCATATAAAAAATTACAATTTTTGTCGTGCGTACCGATGAGTGCAAGACATAACCACGAACCGACAGTGTGATATGTCACTACTAGTTGGAGATGATGTCTGGAAGTAAAAACCCACTTATCACTGCCGGTTGTAGCCATGAATCAGTAATGATACACTATCACTGTCGGTTGCAAAGCAACCGAGAGTAATAATGATGGCATTGATATATGTTTTTTAGTAGTGAATTGCATTTCTTCATTGCACCACTCTCAACATAGCTGATAGGGCATCCATACCAAGTTATACAGCAGGGGTTATAGTATGTTACCCCAGTGGCAAAGCCAGGATAATTGGTCGCCGAGGTCGGTACTCAGTACTAACTCGTAGGTTGAGAGAATATAATATCATATATAACATTAAATTAAATTAATATTATAATAACTGTATATTGTGACAAAATAAGCTTTTACAAATCGCAACACTAGTGTAACACCCCACGTCCAAAACTGCTTATATGCCCTGGCTCCGCACGTGGAGGGAAGTGATAGAAATGAAAATCGATGAAAATCGGTTAAAATTTCAATAAAAATTTGCAAATTTTCATGAAATTTTAACTAAATTATGAAAAAAAAAATCTGAACAAAATGGAATCGAAACTACCGATATATGAATTTTCCGGAGGTCACCGGTAGGAACAAAACTCACCGATTTTTTTTGTGAAAATCGGCAGAAATTCTGATCCCTGCCGGTAGTATCAATGTGCTGTGATTGCCTATCAAATTAGTCATATAATAAAAATTGTAGCAGATACTAATGTGCAAGCATCCATTAGTACATTTAAAAGTCACTAGTGAAATGCAAGCCATAGTGCCATACTGAACTACTGAAGTAGCATACATACCTGGCATGTGGCATCTTGGTCTGAATGAAAAAGCATGTTCTTTACTAGAATGCAAGAAATACAGATGCCACAGAGCTTTTTGCCGGCGGCCGCTACCCGCTGGGACTTGCGTCGACGTGAGATCAAGAACAAATGATGGCACGATGGAGCTGCGCTGCTGCGGCTAGGGGCTAGGCTGCCGGCCAATCTCACCCACGACCGCGGAGGATTTGAGAATTGAGATGCGAGACTAGGAAGATGAAAGGGTGCGGATGCGGCTAGGTTGTACCGGAGGGCGGAGGCAAGCTAACGTTTGGCATTCTAGGCCTGCGAATGGAATATTGATCGACGGATGGGCTGAGGAGATAGTTGGACTGCACACTGCTGCTGCTGGGCTGCCGGTCTGCCGGGGTCGTAAGCATTTTCTACCAGGGTCTACGCAGGCAAGAAATTGCAGGGTACGAGTGAACGTAACTTCGCCCCTGTGTTACCCTATATACCTAATAAGAACATTGTAATTTCTAAAGAACTCACCTCTTTCACTAGTCACCTCAAAATCCATTTGCTGCAAAAACCTCTCTTTATTATTGACACCTCTTCAAGAAAGCTCCTGTGAACCTTGTCATATATATGCATTTTTGAAGTTGAATTCAACAATAATGTCAAGGTTTTTGGGAAGACCTCTAAACTCATGCAACACCTCTTGAACCATAATTACTACCATCCAGGATGTTTATTTCAGGTATGAACGCAGTCTCTAATTCTTGCCAATGATTTTCTCTGGCAAGGGTTGACGTTTTTTGATTATATTTATAACCAAGGAGACTACATATCTCTCCTTTTGCCATATCGTGCTCATATATAATTAATAAGAGCCGGTCATCTAAACCTGCCCTAGAGGTTGTTGGTGTAAGCCTGCTGCTGGACAGCGTGGATGGAGGTTGAGTCAAGCAGACAAGGCGGGAGACGCTCTTTTGAATTCAAGCAGATCAGGCGGGAACTGTTGACAAGCCGGGGAGGTGGTGACCGTGCCCACGACATGCGCGCGTTCAGGCAGTTACGCTGAGGCTCCTTTGTATCTTGTTTTAATCAATTTCTGGTTTGCCATCGTGTGTGTATGCTACTGGTATAAGTAGCAGAGACTAAGTAGTTGATGTAAGCGCATTACTACCGGTGTAATTGCGTTTGTATTCTCTAGTAAACATCAGTGAAAAGAGCACTATCCTCCGGCAGTTGCCGTTCGTGTACTCGTCTGTTCTTCTTTGTTCTTGCGCGGTCTCTGCGATCTAGGCTAGCTAGTCACCGTGTTCATAGCTGTGATTTGATCCTCGTTGCTAACAGAGGTTACGTACATGTTTTGAGCGGTGCAACTCAAGCTTAAATCCATGTAAGAACAGATAGAAATCTGGCTAGAGAGAAAGCAGTACTATATAATTTATTATCTACAGAAAATTGGAAGTCTACACATTGTCGTAACAAACAATAATTTGATATACAGTGTTGAGAAAGCATAGTGTTGAAACATGCATGGTATGTAGGCCTTCAGGTCTGTGTTGCATGCATCCCCGTCTTCCATTTTTTCAACCCTTGCCATTTACACCTTCAGGAGGAGATCACGTAGCAGAGAGCCAGAGATGATCACAAAACACACTCTCCATTCCACTGAACCACATGAGAAATGGCTAAGAAGATGGTTCACTCACTCTCTGCTGCTTGCAAGATCGATTTAGTAGTTAAAATTCTGGTTTGTGTTGAAGGTCATGCCGAACTGCCACCATCCTGGCACTACGTTGAGGAACTGGATGTACTGCCCACCTGTGCTGGTCACGGCGAAGCTAAGCCCCTGGCCGACGAGCCCGGCGAGCGCCTGCCAGTTGGCGCCCCAGTTCCTGGACATCTGGATCCACCCCGTGTTATCGCCCTTGATCCAGGCGGCGGCCACGGACCCGCTGCCAGCGAGGTTCTGGATATTCACGAGCAGGAAGTAGTAGTTGCCGGCCATGCTGAAGCGCACGCCGCCGTTGCGCCAGCACTTGACCTGCTGGTACTGCACCGGGATGATGCCGCCGCTGTAGACGCCGATGTTCTCCCACGCCGGCTGCGACATGTCGAAGTGGGGCAGCCCCGGGCCGCACCACCCGCCGTTGGGCAGCGCGTTGTTGGATGGGCACAGGTTGGTGGCCGTCACGGTGATCCATGTGCCAGGCTTGCAGTACTGGCCGCCCGGGCGTGATGCGTCGCAGATGATGACGTAGCACTGCCCGCACGACGCGCCGTCGTTGAACAGCACCGGGCTCAGCGCTGCGTTGTTGACGCCGTACCCGGCGTTGTATAGGTTCTCGTAGCCGCATGCGCCTCCTGTCATGTATACATTTATTACGAATAAATATGAACATGCATGCATGGATTAGCATATATACATTTGTCTTGTTTGACGCACACAGATTCGCATCAATCCACATGTGTTGGGTGGATTGGAGTAAAACTTGAACTAAATTCCACCTCAATCTATCCCGACACACGTGAATTAAGATGAATCCGACAACGTCCACGTAAGGCCTTAACTAATTTGTCTCATCATGTACCGAATGCATGCATGCAAAAGTAATTACCCATCGTGTCGGAGCCATCGGGTCCACCGTAGAACGTGGCGGTGCCCTGAGACCAGTCGGCGGCGGCAAGCGCGAGGCACGCCGCGAGCGCTGTGCAGAACAGCATCAGGGACTTGGCCATTTCTGTTGTGGACATCAATGTAGAGGCTGCAGAGTGTAGAGAACGAGATGACGATGAGGATTTCGTTTGGTTTAATATTAGCTGTGGGATGAGAAATGAGATGCACGGCACTAGGGACGCCGGTGTGCTTAAATAGATGCATGTCATGCTGCATTGGAATGTACACAATTCGTGGATATGATGATGTTGACAAGGACTTGTATTTTTATTCTTATAGAACAAGCTGATTAGTTTTTTAATGATGAAAAGATCGAGTTTAGAGTCCAGCATCTCCTTTCGAAGAGAAAGCATAAGTCTATACTAATAATGATTACAAAGAGTAGTTGACGCTACCCTCTCACTCTAACATCATGTAGGTGAAGATCAAGCCAGACAAAAAAAGGTAGTCTTAAGCACCTATCTCTGTTAAAAGATTCACCCATCAACAAACGATCAACTAACAAGAATTCCTTCCACATTAGTTGAAGCCCAATCCTGGGCATGATGGTGGTGCACCCGAACAGACGTGTGATCAGTTCCTACTTCCTACACGTACAATTACATTAATTAACACAAAAATCCGGGACATCAGTTGTTTAATCATTAGTTTTTTTTGCGAGTAATCATTAGTTTGGAACACAGACACGTACACATATAGATGCTCAACTACCGCATGTACACAAACACCTACAAATGCATGCATGTTCACCATAGCCCTATGATCATCTCGATAGACTGAGATGGTAGATGTTAAGACATGTAAACATTAGTTTTCCCATATGAAAAACAAGATAAAAAAAAGAAAGATTTTGCTACTGGGCATGTTTGTTCGTGAAATTTGTTGTAGGACGACACTGAAAATCATTTTTGAGGACACCGCCAGTAATGTATTTGTAGCAAAGAGAAAAATTATAGTGTCATGCAGCCAATTCCACGAATAAGCAGTGAACTTAGCAAAACTATATACATATCCATTTGCAAGACTGGAAAAATTGAGAAAGATATGTGGCACTGATTCATCATGGTTTAAAAATCCTATAAATTCAAAACTCAGCTTAAACGAGAACTGCCAACTTGTAACTCCATATGAGTCAGGAATTTTCAGCAACGTCGACAAGGGGACGATAAGTTTTATTTAACTATATATGGATTCTGAACATATGACGGACTGCTGAACATCTCAATTTCAACGAACTCGAACATCACTTTGGTGAATTTATAAAGTTCAAGTACAAAGAGTAGAAGCTCGTTTTTGAAGCCACAAATTGACTTGCTCTCCCTGAGAAGGAAAACTCACTGGAAGGAGGAGCAGAGCACATGATCTTAGTTGTTAATCTAGCTAGCTAGCTAAATAATATAAGATAAATGATAGGCCCCGCACATACAAAAATTTGCAAGCAACATTCGAGTAAATTTAAACCCTCTTATTAGTTCCAAAAATGTGCCTTTTAGTTAATAACAATGACTCATTTGTACTTAGCCACAACACACTAATACACTATGGAATGGAATAATATATTGCAGTTCTAGATAGTGTTGCTGCTGATGCAATGCAATACACACGGTTATATATGATCATTACAACATCAAAGCATTGAGTTCACATTTCAATGATTGATTGAGCGACCCAAATTCATCTGGTTTTATTCACCCAAAATGATCAAGAAACGTCTCTAACTTACTCACCACCATCATCATCTCAAACCGACTCAGGTATAGCTGCTCTGAAATACTCTGTATTCACATAAGTGGTTAAACCCACCAAAAAGCATATAATAACCATCATTCATGGAACATTTATAACTAGATCAAAATTTTCATGGACAAATGACACAAGCTGATTATTACTAGATGTACTGAACAAATTTAATAGTGGAAGTAGTGGCAGTAGGGAATCAATCATTCGTTCACGCAAGTCAAAGGGCCCAACTTAAGAGGTTAAGTTCGTTACAACAGGTATTGGTGACAGTGACATATCTCCTCCCGGACAACACGATGGTTAACAATGCTGACTTTTCTTCAATTATTATGCCAACGCTAATGTTCTTTTCGAAATACACCTGATCTACATTTAAAACATCCAGATGCAACAGTTGCAACATAAATCTAAAGACAGATAAAATACTTGAAACATGCTTCTAAAACACTTGAAAAAATACCTGAAAACGCTTGAAAACCATTGCAAACAAATGCAACATCCAGATAAAACACTTATAACATATGTGTGAAACATATGCGACATCCAGATAAACAAACTTGTAGCATACATCTGAAACACAGATGACATTGGCAACAGACACTTGCAACATACGTGTACAGCCATTGCAACATATCTAATATACTTTTGCAACATTCGTATAAAACACTTGCAACATACCTCTGAAACATTTGAAACACTTCAAATATAAACTTGCAACATATACTTTCAACACAACATCTCCTTGCTGCTTAGGAGAATGGAGGCTGATCGGTGTGCTGGAGGCAGCGGCCCGGCGGCGGGCCAACGGCGGTGACTCCGCAACGTGGCGGAGAGGCAGCGGCTGCACAACTGGGAGATGGCAGCCACATGCCATGCTGTCATGCACCAGCGTCTCGGTGGCGCGTAGCTCGCCACTCATGTGGAGAAGGCCGCGATAGGTCCGGTGGAAAAGGCCGTAGCAGGTCGCTCTAGTGGAGAAGGCAGGCGTGAGGCGTAGTGGAGAAAGAGGCATGATAGAGAGGAAGACGAGAGGGAGCGTGCGGTGGAGAGAGAGGCGTAGTGGAGAGAAGGCGAGCAGGAGGCACGGCGGAGATGGCTGGCGGGATGCGCGGCGGAGCGCGGTCACAGGTTCACGGCCCCCCGGTGAGTTTTTTCTTTTTCTTTTTTTTAGAAAACTACCATGGCTAGAGGTGAGTGGATAGAAACAGATAGGAGAGCCCTCTGGGCCTCCCGGCCTGCTGACGGGGCCGTCCGGGGTAGACGGACGCCCTAATACAAGCATTACCATTTGAAATTTGGTGGGGATTGTTGGTTTTAATTGGAATTGACCAATTTTATTTAGCAATTAAATCAAAAGAATTTTAAGGCTAGGATTAATGCCAGGTGAAATTCATGATGTGTTAGTAGCCATTAGAGGACTGTCTTCAATGGATGCCCCATATGGGCTCCCATACCCAAAATGGGTCTTGAATGGTACTGTATCAGCTTCCAACAAAGTACTTATATACGAGACCTATTTTGGGTTACAACAAAGGCATAACCCAAATATGAGTATCCTCTCTCCTGGAGACTCATTTGTAGAAATGGTTCTCTTTTAAGTCCTGTTGTTGGAGAAGACCAAAAATAGGTACGAAACCTTTTACATGTAGCGCTACCCAAACATGAAATGGGTCTTGTATTTTGGGTAATGTTGTTGGAGATAGCCTTGATTAGTGAATTACTAGTAACGGACAATTGATATATCAGTTACTAATAACAAATATGGTCTTCATGCTCTTACCAACCAGGTTGATTAGTGGGTTACTAGTGTAGGCAATTTATTAATTTGTCAGTTACTGTAGTAACATACATAGTGTTCATGACCATTATGAACCACTATGCCTGTCTCTCGGTGACCCTGGGATGCTACATATATAAGACAGTGCTCTCCTCCAGTCCGCGAGCGAATAACACACAATCATGCCTCGCCACTTTGCTACTGTGTTGCTCTCTGGCATCTCGTCCCGGTTCCTGCATGCATAGGAGTAGGGAGAGCATGCCTTCGAAACTGACGCTATTCTAGAGTTCATCTGCTCAGGTGAAGACCAGTAATCAGATTTTTGGGTAGCATTTTCCACGTGATTGCTTGATCTTCTTCCTAACAACTATGTCTTCTTCTCTTTCTGCTACTTCCTGATGGTCAGTCTCTGGTGGTGGTGATAGACACTGTAACCTTACTACACGGCGTCGAGCGGGCGACTACATCGACAAATGCTATGTCAACTAGACAGGCTCTGTGCCGTTGGGTATGCTACTGTTGCAAGGCGTCTTTTAATTTCTGTGATTAAAATCATGTCCAATATCATGTTCATTGCGCTTAGATCACACGTGCACATGTCTGATGTCACAGATTTTAATATTTTTCTAGATTAAATTGGTACTAAATTTGCCTAATATTCTAAGAGTAAAATCCTTCCTTTATAAAACAATAATGCTCTCCTCAGGGCGTCTGGAAGAAAGGACATGGAGTCACCACTCCTATCCACACCGTTCGGGCCCCATCCGCCAATCTGCCTTCTCCCCTCATGGCTTCTCCATCTGACAAAAACAGGATATCAATTCCTCATTCTGGTGCTGTTGCTCGTGCGCTCCACGGCCTCGCTCTCCTCCCTGTTCCTACTCCTCTCCCTCCTCCACGCTCGAGTCTGCGCCACCGCCGCCGCCTCCTGCTCTCACCATCCCTCCTTCCCCGCCGCCAATAGAGGAGAAGCACAGCAACAGGCTACTGAGGTCGCACACCCGCCATCTCCCCTTCTCCAGCACATCGCAGGGGCGCCTCGCCACCTGGAACGCGTCGGCCCACCCGCCCTATCGCCGGGAGCGGTGCAGCCGCTCATCGGGGCTGTGCCTAGCCGCCCGCCCACTGTCATCCCCCCCCCACACGCACTCCATGGCATCGAGCTCCGCGTCAATGAGCCTCCATTTGTCCAAGCAGCAAGTAGATGTTGCGCCTGAAAACGCATGTTGCAAGCATATATTTCAAGTGTTTCAGAGCTATGTTGCAAGTGTTTCATATGGATGTTGCAAAACTAGATCAAGAATGTTGCAATGGTTGTACACGTATGTTGCAAGCGTCTGTTCTAAATGTTTCATCTGTTTTTTCAGACGTTTGTTGCAAGTGTGTTTATTTGGATGTTGCATATATTTTGCAATGGCTTTTCGAGTATTCTCAGGTATTTTTACAAGTGTTTCAGACGTACGTTGCAAGTGTTCAACTATTTCGAACGTATGTTGCAAATGTTTCATTTGGATGTTTCAAAAGTAGATCGAGTGTTGCATCTTC